GTCTTTTAAGATAGTTGTAAACTCGATGAAATCAAAACGAAAAAAACGATAATGCTCTGTAAAATTGAAAAAAATCGAACTCCTATACACGTATATTTTCTAAATCATGGAAACATTTTTATTTACTTAAATTAACCGTGTTTTCATCATCATATTGTTAGCTTTTCTTGCCTGCCTTAGTGTCAAGATTCAGTTCTTATCTAAGAAAACTGTACTTGTACGTACGTGGCTGAAGTAAAAACATTGGTTAGTGTCAAATTAACATCTGGCGGACAGTATTCTTGAGAGATAGCACTAATATTCAGTGAACATAAACTGTGTACACGATTGGTGAATATATTTACCAAGTTTCCAAAGATCAACTCGAGCAATATCCATCCAGCTCCGTGTGCAGTAGCAGCGGCACTACCCAACAACATGTAGAACACATCGATTGGACGAGCGTATCGAAACTAATGAATGCAAATAAACATCATGATGAAATCCAGCGGTGTAATATTCTGTCTCTTACCAAACTGCGAAGGCTGATCATTTCGACTGATTGTTTTTCTTCTTTGTTTTTGCTAAAAATTCGTTGTAAAATAGTTTTATTTTCGACTAATTCGACAGTTGGTGTTCTGTCGCTAAAAAAACGAAGCAAAGTTATAACCTAAGTCGAATGTTCAAGCATCGTACTTGTTATTTGTAATCCCATTTTGATGAATGTCACTATCACGATTTTCATGCATGTCAGAAGCATTGCCATCCATTGGCGATCCTGTTTCCTGATTAGGCGTTGCCATTGTTTGCCTATCTATTGTTGCTTGAAAACAGAATAGATTAGTCTTTCGCAAAGGAATCGTTCGATTATTTATTTCTCAATCGTCAGGAGTTTTTGGTATTTTATCTCTTCTTTATTTTTATGTGCATAAAACATAGAAATATACATATGAATCATTAACTCGTTCAAAATTGTCAGTCATATTTGAATTCTATAGATAGTCTCAAATTGATATGAAATTCACTGTGTTTTATCTTGATTTATGGCGGTTGTATATTCTAAAAAACATAGGCATGATACGAGTCTAAAGGGTTCTCATCGTAAGCCCATTTTCGAATCTCTTCACATTTTGATGTTGAATTCTAATTTTCTTTTGGAAGAACTATTCGTGCTATTCTACCTGGATTATAATCCTGATTCTTATTAAGTAATAGCGTAGTCAATTTCTTTGAGGATATCTCCTTAGTTATATCATCCGCATAGGCCGCTTTTCACATGAAATATGAACTTGATTTGGCTTATTTTTATTATTTTGTATGAAAGAAAAATGATATACCAAGCATATCGCAATGATCTTGGAATCTTACAGTGAGAGTACAAAAAATTTGACTCAGACATCGATTGTTCATTAACACACACATGTACAGTAAAAAGGTTAAAAATAGAAAGTTGAATGGTAGTCGTGAATCTGACAAGAAACACTGGCAGAATGAGTCTTACCTTATCGTTATCGACTCCTTTGTAGGTTGTTGTTTTTCTCTTAGATAGTGGAACGCAACTGTAGAATTCAATGAAACGAATATCTCAGTGCAGTCGATAATGAACACTTGCGCAAGTAAAATATTAAGATATCGCGCTATATTGTATATTTGTTAAAGAGAAAAAAGAAACTGCAATGAGAGTGACAGTAGAAAAAAACGGTTTGATATGATCGATGTAGTGATTACGAATGCAAACAATGTACATAAAACACGTGTAGAAAGGTATTTTGCTACTCTAAAAACGAAAAAAAGACCACAATCAGAGAAAGGTAGCCTAACATACAAATAATGTGTTTTGTGTTATATTGTAAAGTAATCATATTCTAGTTGATAATGTACAATAAAATCTCGTTCACATATCAGTATTTATCATTTAAATCATAACATTCATTTCTATTCATAAAAGCATGTGCTCTTCATTTTTTATGTACAATTTATTGCATAAGTTGAATTAGGCTTCTATTCGTATACGCATGAGTGCGCATAAAACGAAGAAAACAAAATGTATCAGTATATTAGTACAATGCGAATAAGAAGATCGTTAGTTTATCGTTTCTTGTTCGATTTCTTTTCTATGTAAAGTGTTCCTATTCTTCTATAGTTTATCCCTTTGTTTATCTCTTATTGATAAGCATATATGTGATGCTAAATACATCGCATTATTATTCTGAATGATTTAAACTATCATGAAATATAAATGTTGGTATCAGTAATAGTGCATTTTTTTCTTTTCTCTTTGTTGTAATCTTCATATATATGGCTGTCAGTGATGAGAAACACAAGTTGTTTTTGAGAAACAAATCCTATCTTTTGGCCTGGCCAAGAGTTTTCACTCGAAATAGATAAAATTCTATATCAACAACGATCAAAATATCAGGATATACTCGTTTTCAAAAGGTTAAATACTAGGCAAAACTTCGTGACCAAAATATTTTGTTAAGAGGATATCATGAGCAAGTAGTGAACCCTCATATAGTGTTATACTACTATGATTGAACACTTTTCTACGACACGCTACAGTAGCTTAAATCTTGCTCTGTAATTCAAAAGTTGTGGAAGAAGACAAAAATATTCTATTGAATATTTAGCATTTTGTGTAAAAAGTGATTTGATCTTGAGGGTGGGTGTGGACAGAATAGAATACCCACCCACACACTCTCAAGATGGTTCTTTTTGTCTACACCGATACTCACACCCACATTCACACATTTAGTCAAATTAAAGTCGGTTGCCCCACAAACATTCATCTTCATGTTATATGGTCAGCGTGAGTTCATTGCTCCGATTGGTTGCTACCTTGAATATGATGTTGACGAGCTTTCCAATTTAAGTTCTTTGCCAATCAGTCATTCACAAACAGGATATAAATGCATTTTGATGGATGAAACCAATGAACGAATCATTCTCTCAATGTGTCTAGATGAAATTGATGAAATTTATCTTAGAGATAATATATCACATCTCATAGAATATAAAACTTCGTTGTATATATAATTCATAGGTGCTGGTCTTTTTCAACGTTATTATAACGACCCTGAATTAACGAAGAAAACACGAGTAACAATTAGCAATGAACAATTTTTCAAGACAGACGACCTAGCTCGATATAATACACGAGGTGAACTTGTACATGTTGATCGTGTTGATTTTCAAATTAAAATTCGTGGTCAACGAGTGTAAGCAAGAAAAGTTGAAAGTGATATTATGGCCTGATCACCAAATATGATAATTAACTGTCTTGTTGTGAAATTGACACAAGAGGAAGATTTAATTGTTACATATATGGTTTCGAATAATTCAAGACTTGATATTGAATCAGCTCGCGACTATTGCAAAGAGTGGCTCCGTCGATACATGATTCCATCTCACTTTATTGTACTCGACGAGTCTTCATTAAATGAAAATGGGAAAATAGACAGAAAACAACTACCATCCGCACCAAGTAACGTGCCAAGTGGGTTTGTCAACGCTGATGAAGGACTAATGTCTGGATTAGAAGATCAAGTACATCGTTTTTGGTGTTCCAAATTTGAACTCGACTCCATTCCTCGTGATGCTGATTGCTTTGCATTGGGTGGTTCATCTCTGACGATGATGCTAATTTTCAACTACTATCAAGCTAATCTTGTTCCAGAGAAACAACTTGATGATCTCGAATTTTTCACTCATCCAACAATTGCCGACCATGTTCGACTTCTGACCAGCATTAAGACAAAGACACCTTCTATATAACCTTTATAATACGCAAAACACAGACATTTCGTGATTCTACTTTCAGTTGTTTATTATATTGTGATGATTTCATTTTTCAAATACAGTTTTCTTTTTGATACTAGTGACAAATGAATAACTACAATGATGAGGAGTGAAAAGCTATCTTAACATAAGATAGTTGTAATTGGATAGATACAAATGCTGAAACAAGATATCTTGATTAATCGGAATAAAGTATACGAGCAGCAGCAGTCGAGTATATAGAATATGTATAAAGTAGTATTCATCATCGTTGTTATCACTTTCTCTCTGGATCATTCTATATGGAGACATTTCTCCTTTCTTAATGATGGTATCATTTCAGTTTCCTTTGTTTCATCTGAGTCTATCATACCCATCGTTTTTTCTTTCTCACACAGAAAAGCGACAAAAAAAGACTCTGCTTTTAACTCGATTAGATTCTTACTACTTTAGTTAGTTTTTAATGAGCAAATAATCTATTGAAAACAATTAAAAATACAATCGTTCTTATCTCGACCCTTTGTCTAATTTCTATGAATTATTAAGGGAAGGTTCATGACTAGACCATCAAAATCTAATGAACAGCGACGTTTGAAAAATCTTTAACACTATGACTTTATTTTCGCATAAAATAAAAGACCATTCTTGAAAGTTTGCAAATCCAATCTTTCAGCTTATTCTCAGTTAACTTTGCTAAGCTATACAAAATAATACTGATAATCTGTCACGATCATTTCAATCAAAATATAAAGAATTTCATTTAATCGATATTTTGCTTGTTTTTTCTCCCTCGCGTTCAGTTAAATGTTATTGTGATATCTCGCAGTATACAAAATCTTTTCTTCTACGGAACTGTATATAAGACATCTTCTCGAAAGTTTATTCAGACTATGAAGAATACATGCACTCGATCATATAGAACTAAAACAATCGAGTTCATGCCACTATTTCAGCCTAAAAATATGTAAGAAAACTGTCTTCTGATTTGTTTGACTCTAGATTCTGAAAGGGCATTAAAAACTACATCGAATGCTACATAAATTTCATTTTGATAAGTGATCGATTCGATATCTAATATGTGGCCTTAACCATACGGTCTATATAAGCCATTCGATTTTTCGGATCGCGAATATGATCACCACTATGGGTATGAGACTACGTGTGCACGAATAGCCTTGCCGATATGCACACTCTTAAAGTTATAGCTCAAGAATAGAAATACCACGTCAACATACTCACACCCAAACCCTCATCATTTACACGGACACATATAACCCCACTACCGTACTTGCGTTCACTCAAAACCACTGCCATATTCACACTAATAGCTTCAGCCACACCCTCACGATATATAAACGCATACCCAAACCCATTACTGGCTCCACACTCACACGCACATATATACTAATACCGGCGCCTCTCCCCACACCCACCCACGTACAATTAAATATACTCAAGCAAACACACACTCACCTCCATCCCAACGCACACAGCCATGCCTACACCCACACATTCAACATAGTAATTATTTTAATCCTCTCCATCGTATCCTACCTTGTGGTCATCACTAAATAAGCTTGAGAGACCTACTGTGGTTCTGCCTCCACTCAATAATTTGACTGCACTGGA